AGTGAATAGTAATCGTCGCCAAAAAACCGTATATAAACTATACGCCAGAAATGCCTGGAATGTATCGCTTGGCACTATTGACTGCCATATATTTTTTGATTACACAAACAATTAATGTAATTTTTTTTATTGATTTAATATTTTCTATTGATTTGTTTTGTTGCTGTTGTTGTAAAATTTGGATTATATATTGTTTTTTTTTTCTCTCTTTCCCCATATTATCGTCACATTTAGTGCCAATCGTCAGACAATTTACTTAATTGTCCCGAAGGTTAGTCTGCTTTTTGATTGTTTCACACGTTTTGCATTCACGATAAGTGAGGAGACAGTAACCGGTGACCAATACTATTGTGTGCAATAATAATGCTCATTTATTGCATTGTTTATATACTGTATCATGCTGTGAAATATTGTACCGTGTTCATTATTAATTCAGTAATTCTATTGAAAAAAATGTTTTATATATCGATACCTAATTGATATACAGCTCTAGAATGTGGTTTATTCTCATAGACCTACCATTACAATGAAATGATTACATGAAACTTCACAATTCAAATACTGATATATTGCCGGAACGCAAACTTCATATTTATTTATTACTTTTCAATTCCCTATACTATTCATTAGACGTGTCCGGCATTTGAAAATTTCCAGAATATTTGCCACAAAATTAATGTAATTTAAGTTTGTTTTGCACGAAAAATCGTATATAAAAATGTAATCTCTATTAAAAGTTTTTTTGTGTGGATTTTTCAAATAATAAGTTTGAGTTCAATTCAATTAGTTTATGTAATTATAGATTTGCTATTAATTCAGCAAAACTCGCACTTAAAATACAGTAAATATGCAGTCTATTGAACAGCTAAACAACTCGTCCCCAACCAGTTTCCGAGCCGGAGGTTTGAATTTACAGTAAATGTATTGCAAATGAATAGTAAATCAATTAGAAATGATTTTTTGCCACTATATGTATACCTCAACGCGTTTTCAAAGGGCACTAAAGTTATTTTTTAGTAAAATACTTTACATATCGATACTTCATATCATTTTTACCATATTGTTATGAGTCATATCAAGATATTTAATATTTATTAATGAGAAATATTTCCATTAAAATGATTTATATTTTTGAAATACTGAAACAGAATTCTCAGAATAATTATAAATATTAATGATATTTAATTTTAATGATAGTGATAGGGTAAATTACCAGGAACCAACAATATTAACCAACCATATTAACAAATGTTTTTTAAAAACAATTCAATACGTGCTGTTGACAACATATAACTCGCTTATTATTTGTGTAAACTCTTAAACTTCTATAATACTCAATGAATCGTTTGCAATCTCTCTCTCTCTCCTCCAATCTGTCGATTAAAATCAATATTATTTTTTAAAATACATTTTAAATTTTTTAAAAACACAGAATATGTTTAGTTTTGCGTTCACTTTAAGATTGATGGCCACCAGAAAAGCCATACTTTATATAATAATTTCGATACCCATTTAAAAGTTGTGTTCAATTGTGAGTGCATTTTACACACTCAACAACTTCCTTAACATTTCTCACATAACCAGTCCATCGCTGTTTGCCTAACACTACATGTAATGCCCATCAGTCTCTCTCTCTCTCTCTCTCTCTCTCTCCAGGTATTTAAATACAAAACAAATGAAATTGCAAACGATTTAAAGCTTAACAGTTTAAACAAATACATAAAAGAATCCTGTATTGTATTGTATTGTAAACTTTATATACAGAAAGTAACAAAAATAATCAGTGTCAAGTTAACTTTAAGCATTGATTTGCTCGATTAATACCACTGTATTTTCACAGCCCGGTACATAGTTTTTACTTTTTGCCTAGGTCGTTAACTCGCCCGTCACTGTATCCTTAAAGTGAACGCAAAACTAAACATATTCTGTGTTTTTAAAAAATTTAAAATGTATTTTAAAAAATAATATTGATTTTAATCGACAGATTGGAGGAGAGAAGGCATATATTGTTATAGATTTTTCAATATAAAACACTCGTGGAGGAGAGCGGCGGAGATATGCCGGAGGTTTGTAACCCTTTATATAAGTTATACATAGTATGTATTGATGGCCACCAGAAAAGCCATACTTTATATAATAATTTCGATACCCATTTAAAAGTTGTGTTCAATTGTGAGTGCATTTTACACACTCAACAACTTCCTTAACATTTCTCACATAACCAGTCCATACTCTCTCTCTCTCTCTCTCTCTCTCTCTCTCTCTCTCGCATCTCTAACACTAGCATTTAGTTTAAGCAAAAAATTTTTTGATACTCAACACAAAAATTTCATAATTATATTAATAAAACCCGATATTAAAAGTCCGCAAATTCATGCGTTGAATACTTAAAATTATTTAATACTTTAAACCAAAGCATATAATCACAGAATTTTTCATTAATTTTTTCTCTAATTTTCTAAATAATAATAATAATAAATGGTTTGAAATATAATTGTTTCAAAATCATGTCATTTCCTTCAAAACAACAAAATAACTATACATTTAATGTTTGGCACAACAAACACATCGCAAAACAACACAACAAAACAACCAAAAACTTTTGTTGTGATGCAAAAAATCTCAAGCAATTTCACTATTGGATTGAGTGATGCATTTGAGTGGGCATTCAATAGCGAAATAAATCCAAATTAAAAGTTTTTTAATTTCACAAAAACTGATTGTGTATTTGAGAGCCCATTGTATTGTATGCTTTGAAGTTTAAATTCAAGCTATAATCAGTGCTATAAATACAATACAAACATATATAACCAGTCATTTGAAACTTTATTAACTTTAAACAACTGTAATAACAACCACTATATAAGACATTATTGTATAAGTAATGGTCATATGATGGTAACTAAATGTCACTCATAACTGATCCATAGATACGGCAGCGAATTGGCACTGATCTCTGATTACACGCAAAACAATTTCTCCACACATTTGGCGAACCAATGGCTTCGGGAGGAGTCGAGCGCTAGTCGGCCGTCGTTTTGGATTGGCTTTCAATCCATCGACAACTTGTCCACCAATACGTTAGAGTCGGCCTCCGGTCGGTTCGTCAGCAAATACGTGGGCTTCTGGTATACCGACGAACCCAACACCAGGAATGGCGAGTGCGTCCGATCCACGCTCGCCGACTGGTCGCCCGTCTTGGCTCAGGCCAACCAACAGACCTGGGAGATGGCCCCCTGCGAAGACCTCTTGCCATTCATCTGCCAAAAACAGACCTGTCCTACAGGTGCGCCCCCACTCTCTTACCCCTCATTTGTGTATACATTTCACTAATGTCTTGGTCTCTATGTGTTTGTGTGTCCAATAGGTTCGTACCACTGCTCTAACGGCAAGTGTGTGAACAGTGCGTTCAAATGCGACGGTCAGGACGACTGCGGCGATAAGTCCGATGAGATGGACTGCCATCGCAAGTGTCACTACTATCTGCAGAGTTCAGGCGACAAAGTGGTCTCTCCTAACTATCCCAACCGATACGACTCCAACTCGGACTGCAAGTGGACACTCGAGGGTCCGGTCGGCTCCGGTATGGTCTTGCAGTTCAGCGAGTTTGACACGGAGGCCAACTTCGACACCGTTCAGATACTGGCCGGCGGACGCACCGAAGAGTCGTCCGTCAATTTGGCCACACTATCGGGCCATCAGAACCTGTCGTCCCGCGCGTTCACCACCGGCTCTAACCTAATGATCGTGAAGTTCAAGTCTGACGCGGGTGTGGAGAAGCGTGGCTTCCGGGCCTCGTGGAAGACAGAGCCCCATAAGTGTGGCGGCGATTTGTTCGCCACCGCAGCCGCTCAGGTGATCACTTCGCCCCTCTATCCCGAGCCATACCCGGGCGGACTCGAGTGCGTGTACGTGATAACAGCCCCACAGGGAAAGACAGTGACGCTGGAAGTGGTGGAACTGGATCTCGAACCGGAGAAAGACTACATATCGGTGCGCGACGGCGCCGGCTCTACCAATACACTGTTGGCCAAACTGACTGGCAATCTGACCGACAACTCCCGATACATCGTCTCCACCGGTAATAAGATTTATCTGTATTTCTACACGAGTTTTGGTGACTCTCGACGTGGTTTTGCCATCCGATTCCGGGCCGGCTGTGAGATCGAGTATACGGCCGACTCCGGGAACATCACATCCCCGGCCTATGGTGTGACCAAATACCCGCCCAATCAGAACTGCGTCTACCGTTTGGCCCGGCCTACCGGTGGATCCCTATCCATACTGTTCAACGACTTCGATGTGGCCACTGATGACACTCTACAGATCTTCGACGGCGTCGACAGCACTGGTATTCCTCTGCATCCGAGCCGTGGCTTCAGCACCAAAACCAAACCACACGGACTGACACTATCGGCCTCTTCGGGCAAAATGCTATTGCAGTTCAAAAGCGCGGCGATGACTGCCGGGAAGGGCTGGTCCGCCAGTTTCTCAGCCGACTGCCCACCGCTGAAGATCGGTGTGAACGCCGTCGCCTCCACCCGTGGCATAATGTTTGGCGCCAAAGTGACCTTCACGTGTCCAACCGGTCAGGAGTTCAGCAACGGTCAAACCAAACTGCACACGGAGTGCCTTCAGGGCGGCCGATGGTCTTTGGCCACGATTCCCGACTGTCAGGAGCGCTACTGCGGACCAGTGCCACAGATTGACAACGGTTTCGCCGTGGGATCAACTAACGTGACCTACAGGGGAACCGCTACCTACCAGTGTTACGCCGGTTTCGCCTTTCCCTCCGGTATGCATACGGAACACATCCGCTGCACAGATGAGGGCAAATGGGAACGACTGCCCCTATGTCTGGCCTCTTCGTGTCCACCACTGCCCGAAACCCCAAACGCCGTTCAGTCTGTGATGACCGGCGGAAACAACCGGAGCTACAGTTACGGCACAATCATACGGTTCGAGTGCGAACCCGGCTATCATCGACACGGCATACCTGTGATCGCTTGCACTTCGGTTGGCCAGTGGTCTGGTCTGCCGCCCACTTGCGAGAGAGCCCAATGCCATACACTGCCCACCATTGAGTACGGCTTCATTGTGGACACACAGCGGCGCTACCTCTTCGGCGACGAAGCGAGGGTTCAGTGCAATCGTGGCTACAAACTAGAGGGCCATCCGGTGATCAAATGCGGACCCAATCAGACCTTCGACAATATGCCGAAGTGTAAGGACGCCGACGAGTGTCTGTCCTCCTCGGCGTGCGATATGGCGTCCACTCATTGCAGTAACACAAACGGCGGCTTCTTCTGCAAGTGTAAGGAGGGCTTTGAGCCGAACCTCAACTGTCGACCCGTCAGCGATCTCGGACTGTCCACCGGAGCCATACCCGACACCGCCATCAAAGTGTCGGGCGTCGAGAACGGCTACAAACGATCGGAGATACGTCTGGACGCCGCCCGGGGTTGGTGTGGATCAGTGCCAAGAGTGGGCGAGAATTACGTGCAAATAGACTTACGCGCGCCGACAGTCATCCGCGGTTTCCGCATACAATCGGTGCAACGCGTGGACAACACTCAGGCCTATCCCATAACCGTACGGCTACAACACGCCAACGAACTGACCGATCTGTTCCGCGACTACAGCGACCTCTCCGGCCGACCCGTGCAGTTCCGGTTGGCGCCCAACGGCGGCTCCGGGCTATCCATTGTCAACCTTCCCATACCATTGGAGGCCCGATACGTGCGACTCCTGATAATGGAGTTCGCTGTGGCTCCGTGTATGCGGTTCGAGCTGATGGGCTGCTCCCGACAGGACTGCACCGACGTTAACGAGTGTCTCGACAAGAACGGCGGTTGCGACCAACGGTGCGTCAATAGCCCGGGAGGTTTCAATTGCGTGTGCAATATCGGTTACGAGTTGTATACTTCCAATGGCACCGCCGGTTATGATGTGGCCTCTGGCGAGACTGGCGTCAGGGATGGCGACGTGTTTCGCGTGAACAAGACTTGTGTCCCGAAACAGTGCCCACCGCTCAAGAGTCCCACTAATGGCAAACTCTTGTCCACCAAAAGTAAATACCATTTCGGAGACTCTGTTCACTACTATTGCGACTTCGGGTACGTAATGGTCGGCAATCCGACCCTAATCTGCGGCTCCAACGGCCTCTGGAACGGCACGACACCGGAGTGTGTGTACGCCCAGTGCCCGATGCTATCGGACGACAGCGGACAGGGTTTGCGCGTAACCCACGAATCCACCGATAAGTTCATACCATATCTGACCAACACTACTGTCCAGTGTCTGGAAGAGGGCCGACCACTGCGAGGGACGGCCAGCGCTGGCTTTCGGCAGTGCGTCTACGATCCCAAAGAAGGTCGACACGAGTTTTGGCTGTCGGGAGCGGCGCCCGCCTGTCCTCGTCTGGACTGCGGGGCACCCGTCGAGTCGAACGGCGCTACATATGGTTTCTATGTGGACACCAGATATAAGGCGAGCTTCTTCTACGGCTGCGACGAGACGTTCACTTTGGCCGGAAAGACCGAGCGCTCAGACAACGTGATCCGATGCGGCGCCAAAGCCAACTGGGACTTCGGCGACCTCCGCTGCGAGGGACCCGTCTGTGTAGATCCCGGACATCCGCCCGACGGACAACAAATGGCCACCAGCTATGAACAGGGCTCGCAGGTGTCGTTCACCTGCGACCGACCCGGATATGTGCCGTACTCTACGGATCCGATCACTTGCGTGAAGAACGCCGACTGCAAAGTGATCAAAGCCGTGGGCATAGCCAGCGGTCTGATACCCGACAACGCCATAAACGCCACTTCCCAGCGAAGTAACTACGAGGCCAACAAAATACGGCTCAACTCTGCCACGGGTTGGTGCGGACAGCATAACGAGGCCTTCACATACGTTACGGTCGATTTGGGCAAAGTTTTCCGCGTGAAAGCACTTCTGGTGAAGGGTGTGGTCACCAACGATGTCGTCGGCCGACCCACAGAACTCCGCTTCTTCTATAAGCTCCGCGAGTCCGACAACTTTGTCGTCTATTTCCCCAACTTTAACCTCACGAGCAGAGATCCGGGCAATTACGGTGAGCTCACTGTCATTCCCCTACCCGTGTCGGTCACCGCCCGTTACGTCATCCTCGGAATCGTGTCCTACGCCAAGAATCCGTGCCTCAAGTTTGAACTCGTCGGCTGCGAAGACACCAAAGAGGAGATACTCCTGGGCTATGATAACGGCTACCCGGTGTGCGTGGATCAGGAGCCGCCACACTTTGTCAACTGTCCCAATGGGCCCATAGTTGTGACCAAAGGCGTGAATGGCATACTTCCCGTCAACTATACCATCCCTACCCCTATCGATAACTCTGGTTTCGTGGCTCGAGTCGAAGTCCGTCCCCTTGGCTTCAAACCACCAATGATTGTCTTCGAGGACACAGTCATCGAGTACTTTGCCTACGATAGCGACGGTAATGTCGCCGTCTGTGCCGTCAACATAACAGTACCCGACGAGACACCGCCGGCCCTCTCCTGCCCGCAGTCTTATGCCGTGGAACTGACTGAACAACAGGACACGTATTTCGTCAACTTTAACGAAACCCGGCGTCTAATCAACGCCACCGACGAGTCCGGCGAAGTCCGCATTCAACTGATCCCCGACTCAGCGATCATTCCGCTCAAAGGCTACCGCAATGTCTCGGTTGTGGCCACCGATCGCTTCGGCAACGAAGCCTTCTGTCACTTCCAGGTGTCCGTACAGCCCATGGCGTGTGTCGCGTGGGCTCTCGACCAACCGACCAATGGTGTGGTCAACTGTATGCCCAACGACGGCGGCACCGGATACAGGTGTTCGGCCACTTGCGACCCCGGCTACCGATTCATCGACGCCGAGCCCATCAAACACTACGAGTGCTCCGCCGGACAGCAGTGGACGCCCAGCGCTATAATCCCCGACTGTGTGCCCGAAGACACGAACGAAGCCTCGTATGACGTGATCGCCTCAATCGAGTACAGGAGCGGTGGGTTCGCACCGCCGGCCTGTATGTCGGCGTACGTCAACTACGTGTCCAGTTATTACCCGAACCTCAACCACGTGCTGTCCGAACGGTGTTCAGCCATCAACGTTCAGATGGCGATCATATTCTTCAACACCACAATCACCATAAAGCCCGACACAAACGCCCTGTCCGTGGAGTACGTCCTGCGCATCGATCCCGCCGTTCACTCCAAGATGTTGTACGACTTGTGCGGCTCAACGCTAGGCCTCATATTCGACCTGTCGGTGCCGTCCACGTCGGCCATCATCGAGCCGTTGCTCAACATATCGTCCCAACAAGTGGGCGGTTCCTGTCCTTCGCTGATGGCTATGCGCTCGCGAGTCAACCGTGGCTTCACATGCGTTGCCGGAGAGATATTGAACACCAACAACAACACCGGCACCACCACCACCAACGACAAGAACAACCCGCGATGTCTGCACTGTCCGGCCGGCACTTTCGCCTCCAAAGACATGCAAATGTGTACCGACTGTCCGCGCGGTTGGTATCAGGACACCACTCGACAGGCCTCCTGTCGCCAGTGTCCGGACGGCACGTTCACCAAAGACAAGGGCAGCAAATCGCTGTCCGATTGCGTTCCCGTTTGCGGTTACGGCACTTACTCTGCCACCGGACTCGTGCCGTGCCTTCAATGCTCGGGCAATACCTACTCAGGAGTGCCGCCCAGCGATGGCTTCAAAGAGTGCAACACTTGCCCGGAAAACACGTTCACATACTCTGCCGGCGCTATCGGTGTGAACGAGTGTCGCATCAAATGCCCGGCCGGCACCTACTCGGAGACCGGTCTGGAGCCCTGCGCCCCCTGTCCTACAAATTTCTACCAAGATAAAGAGGGACAGACCAGCTGTAAGGAGTGCTCCAGCAAAGAGCTCACACTAAGACCCGGTGCGCTGAGTCCCGAGGCGTGCACTGCCGGTCAGTGCAGTTCAATCACGTGTCAAAACGGCGGTATTTGTATTGTCCTCAATCACGAGCCCTCGTGTTACTGTCCGGCGGGCTTTTCCGGCGCCCTCTGCGATGTGGACATCAATGAGTGCCTATCGGAGCCCTGTTATAACGGCGGCACTTGTGTCGACAACCCTCAGGGCTATTCATGCAAGTGTCCCGTCGGCTACTCCGGCCTCCAGTGCCAACTTGTGCGGTCCGAATGCCATAACGACACCTGTCCTGAGAAGGCTATGTGCAAAGACACGCCCGGTTTGGGCAACTTTGAGTGCCTGTGCCGCTCGGGCTATGAGGGCCGCAGCTGTAACATCACAATCAATCCGTGCACTCACGCCGACAATCCGTGCGAGAATAACGCCCAATGCGTTCCCCTATTGCAGGGCCGCTACCGGTGCGAGTGTGGCGCCGGTTGGACGGGCCGTAAGTGCGAGATCAACATCGATGACTGCGCCGAAGAGCCCTGCCTTCTGGGCGCCAACTGTACCGATTTGGTCAACGACTTCAAGTGCGACTGTCCTCCGGGTTTCACCGGCAAGAGGTGTCACCAGAAGATCGACCTGTGCTCTAACAACGGCCCCTGCGTTAACGGCCTGTGCGTCGACCGGCTCTACCATCACGAGTGCATTTGTAACCCCGGATGGACTGGACTCAAGTGCGAGATGAATGTGGATGACTGCGCGTCCGAGCCGTGCGAAAACAATGGCGAATGCATTGATTTGGTGGACAGTTTCCGGTGCGCCTGCGATAGCGGCTATACTGGCAGCCGATGCCAGCATCAGATCGACTCGTGTGAGTCCAAGCCCTGTCAAAATGGCGGCTCGTGTTTCGACCTCATCGACGGCTTCATGTGTCAGTGCAGACCCGGTATGTGTCGATCAAACACCTCTTCTCCCAATTTAATTGCATTCAATTTCTGTAAATCTAATCCACTTTTATCTTTCAAAAACAATTTCAGGTTTTGTTGGCCTTCAATGCGAGGCAGAAGTGGACGACTGTGTGTCCAATCCGTGCAACGCTTTGGGAACCGAACGGTGTGTGGATTTGGACAACAACTTCCGGTGCGAGTGTAACGCCGGCTTCAGTGGCGAACTCTGCGAGACCAACGACAACGACTGCCAGTCGAGCCCGTGTCTGAACGGCGGCACCTGCTCTGACTCTATCAATGGGTACAAGTGCTCGTGTCTGCCCGGTTGGTCCGGCCATCGGTGCGAACGTGACATCGGTATGTGTGAGTCGAGTCCCTGTCATAACGACGCGAAGTGCGTCGACCTCTTCCAGGACTACTTCTGCGTGTGTCCGTCGGGAACAGATGGCAAACGGTGTCAGACATCGCCGCAACGCTGTATTGGCAACCCGTGCCAACACGACGGCATCTGTCGCGACTACGGCTCCGGACTGAACTGCACGTGTCCTTCAAAATACACGGGAGTCGGCTGTCAGTACGACTACAGGGCGTGCGATGAGAACGTGTGCCAAAACGGCGCCTCCTGTCACGACTACGGCGATGGCTATCAATGCGAATGCGCCGCCGGATTCACGGGACGTAACTGTCAACACGATGTGGTCGACTGTACGCCCAACTCGTGTCCGCCAACCGCCACCTGCATAGACCTGACCAATGGTTTCTACTGCAAGTGTCCGTTCAATCAAACGGGCGAAGACTGTCGCAAACCAATTAACATTGATTACGATCTCTATATCAACGACGAGAGCCGCTCGTCGAGTGCGGCCCTTAACGCCCCCTTTGACCTCATGGAAGCCCAGAGTCTGACCGTTGGTCTATGGGTTCAGTACATCGAAGAGTCAATCGGCACTTACTTTACCCTATACTCGGTTGAGTCCCCACACCTGCCAATTGGCAAACGACCGCTCATTCGGGCCAATCATAACGGAATATTCATCTCGTTGTTCGCGGATCGACTACAAGACGTGTTTATGCCATACCTGGAGAACGTGCCCATCAATGACGGCCAATGGCACTACATTAACGTGATTTGGGACGGAAGGGACGGATTCCGGCCAAAGTGAACGTCTCGTCGCAGCCGTAGAAGAAGCTCGCCTTATATCTGGTGTCCACATAGAAACCATATGTAGCGCCGTTCGACTCGACGGGTGCCCCGCAGTCCAGACGAGGACAGGCAGGAGGTGCTCCCGACAGCCAGAACTCGTGTCGACCCTCTTTAGGATCGTAGACACACTGCCGAAAGCCAGCGCTGGCCGTCCCTCGCAGTGGTCGGCCCTCTTCCAGGCATTGAACAGTAGTGTTGGTCAGATATGGTATGAACTTATCGGTTGACTCGTGGGTTACGCGCAAACCCTGTCCGCTGTCGTCCGATAGCATCGGGCACTGGGCGTACACACACTCCGGTGTTGTGCCGTTCCAGAGGCCGTTGGAGCCGCAGATTAGGGTCGGATTGCCGACCATTACGTACCCGAAGTCGCAATAGTAGTGAACGGAGTCTCCAAAATGGTATTTACTTTTGGTGGACAAGAGTTTGCCATTAGTGGGACTCTTGAGCGGTGGGCACTGTTTCGGGACACAAGTCTTGTTCACGCGAAACACGTCGCCATCCCTGACGCCAGTCTCGCCAG